GGAAAGAGGGAGAAAGCGGTGAGCAAGGGGGTCCCCGCCCCTCTCGGCACCCAGCGGAGAGGGGACGCAGGACGTCCCCACCTGAAACACCACGACTTTGCCATCGTCCGCCTGCAGGTAGAAGGTCCAGGTGGAGGAGATGAAGCTCTGGGCAGAGCTGACGATGTCATTGCAGAAGGTGGAGACCAAATCGAACATGGAGAACGACGGCACCTTCAGCTCCAGGCTCTGCAAAGGAGCAGGGACATCGTGTCACCGCCGTCCCCTCGTCACCCACCCCAGCAGACACCATCCCACCCTGAGGATGTGGCTGGATTGAGCCCGGCGCTCAGGTCTGGGGCTCAGCCTGTTTCTCCCAGCGATGGGGATGTGCAGGACCCGTGGGCTGGCCCCAGGAGGGTCACCGAGCCGGGGGCCGCGGTCCCCAGGGCCATCACCCAGCCCCAGGGCCATCACCCAGCCCCTCGGCAGCCCTGCGCTCCCACCAGCGCTTTAAACAATAGGAGCGGAGCGGCCGAGATGCCGAGGGCGTTTCTCTCCTGGCAGCCTCTCCGTGCCCTGGATTCTTGGCCGTCGCGGCCGTTTGTTATTTTTAAAGCATCCCTGCTGGAATCCGCTTGGCTGCTCCCTGCCACTGGCTTCGAACATTTTCCGACAGCCCCTTGCACGGTCAAACCAGCAAACAGGAAATAAATAGGTCAGATTCTGTATCTAATTATTATACTAAATCTGCTTTGCCTGCTTGTCTGGGAACCCGAAGGAAAAATGCTTTGGGTGGGTGAAGGGGGTGACGGCCCTCCCGGCCAGCCGGTCACCCCCCGATACTCATCCCTGACCTCGGAGCGGGGCTGGGAAATGGGATCAGACACTGGGAAGGTCTTAAAAACAGGCTGCAAAGTGGTTTTTCAAAGGAGCCACAGCTTTCTCCAGCACAAATTCATCTTCGTCTGCAGGCGTACAAAGCCAAAAGCCTCTACCTTGGGCCAAAGTCTAATTTAATTAATTGGGCAAAAGCTGAATTAATTAAATGTAGGAAGAAGCAGCGTTGCTAATTGCTGGGAAGGATAACAGATCAAAACTGGGGGAATCTGCAGCAATCACTGGTCAGAACATCTCACCCTGGGAATTCGGCGTGATCGCCCTGCCTGGCCCAACCTCCAGCAGCCTGGGTCGCGCCCAGTCAATCTGCGTTTTACGCTTTGGAGGAAGCAGCGCGATGGCCCAGAGCACCCATCCGCAGGGGCGCGCATAGCAGGGGACACAAAATAAAGCGAGATGCAGCAGGCATCCTGCAGCGTCGCGGGAGCCGGGAGCCGGGCAGCGGGAGCGTGCGGGGAGCGCGCCCGGTCCCAACCCGCCCCGGGGAAGCGCCGAGGGAAGCCGGGTCCCGGCGCTGGGGATCACGGAGGTGTGAGGGTGCTGCGGGGACGGCCGGGAGGCAGCGAGGGGAGGGATGGAGCTGGATGGCTGTGCTGGGGAGGGAGGGAGGGATGGAGGGAGGGTGGGAAGGATGGGCTGCACGTGCGGGGTTTTACAGCCTCCATCTCCGGGGAGAGGAGGAGCCAGGCTCAGCTCCCACGGGAGGAAGGGATCCTTCCTAAAGTGGGATCCAGGGGACAAGCCACCACGTCCCAGCGTCCCCCCCATGGGGTCCTGGGCAGGGGGTGGCCGGTGGGCTCAGCAGGGTGGCAGTGGTCCCCATTGCATTGGCGTTGTCTGCTCTGCCCGGCAGCGGGACAAACTTTGGTCTCTGCAATGCCCAGGGTGACCGAGACGCCCCACGTCCCCATGCCGGGGGTCTGGCGAGGGCCGAGGTGGCCAGAGAAGCCACCCCAAGGGCAGCCCCACGGCTCCAGGCTCCTTGTGGGGGCGAATGCCTTCCCAGCTGGTCCCCGGCAGTCCCGCGGGGTGACGGCACAGGGACAGAGCAGCCGGGGTGCCCCGGGGGGGCACATCCAGCCCACAGACCTTTTGGGGAAGGAGCCAGATGCAGGGACAGGGCAGAGCCATGGCCGGTGGCACCGGGGACAGGCTGGGTGGGCTAAGGGGGGGAACGGGGGGTCCCCATCTCCCTGGCCCCTCACCTTCTCCTTCCTGCTCTCCACCTCGGGCAGCTGCTTGCGGCACCCCATCACGCAGCCAAACTGCTCCTCCACGTTGCTGTAGGCTTCAGCGCATGCTGCAAGGCAGGAGGGGGGTTAGGTGGTCCTTGACCCCCTTGATGGGCCCTGCACCCCCAGGATCCCCCTACCCATCCCGATTTATACCCGGTGGGTGTAAATCTGCACCCTGCTTGGTTTGCAGCAGGGTCCGGATGCGGCCCCGGGGCACAGCGTGGGGCTGAGCGAAGGCAAGAGGCTCAGGAGGGTGGAAGGCGTCGCGGCGGTGCCAGCAGTACATGGGGGACCCCCCTGGGACGTTGTTTGGGGCACGGGGGCCGCTCAGCCGCCGGTTCCTCACCTGCTTCACACTCGGCTTTGGTTGTGTTCAGCTCGGCGCTTGCATCCACGAAGTGACAGATGGAGAACAGCCGGCAGCCCCGGTAACAGGCGTTGAGAACAGCATCCTGCAGGGAGGAGGAGGAGAGCGCGGAGCTGGCACCAAGCTCAGCCCGGTGGCTGCGCTGGACCCCCACCACGGCCCCCCCCACCCAGCTGGGGGGCACTGGGCACTGCCACCCTCCTGCAGAACCGCAGCCGGGCCTGGCACCCCGAACCCACCGCGATGGCACCTCCGGGGGAGGGAGAGCTGCCTTCACCCCCCGAGTTTGCACCCAAAGGTCAGGCTTGCACGTGGCCTCGTCCCCATTGAGGACGCAGTGGGTCCCCCCATCTCTGTCACGGCGCTTGGCACTGGCTGGGCCCCGGCATGGGCTGGCAGGAGGTGGGGGCTGCGCTGCGGCGGGTGTGCATGGTGGGATGCGTGCACTGGGGGGGCTGGGGACACTCTGGGGGGGATGCACGGGGGGCACCGAGCCTACGGGGGGGTCGCGGCATGGACCGGCAGGCGCGGGCTTGGGGGGAGG